TGTCTGAAATGTCACAAGTTCGTCCATATTAAACATGATCACAGTAATGCCGCCAAAAACACCTGGTGTCGGCGACAGTACATCCCCTGCTCTGAGTTCTAAGGCGCGGCCAAGTCTTCTGTAGACTACGACACATCAGGTGTTTGTGATAAGTGGGTGTGAGTGTTTGCTGCTCGTGACTCCATCTACTAGAATGGTGTTGTCCACAAAAATTACAATGAGTTCCTAGGCTGGACAATTCGAAGCAGACAATTATTATAGGATCCTGTCAACCAGTCAGTCGGCTACTCTGTCTAGTATTTGTGTGATTTAAAAAGAGACTGAAGGTCATTGAACGATGGCTGAGGAAACAAGCCATTCATCATTCCTCATTGCCTTTGGGGCTTGCAATTATACTAGTCGCATGTAGCCAAATGTCTTATCCCACTTCCTCATAACTACATAACCTTGAACGTGCTAACAATCGCTGCAGGCCTGTCGGTCTACAACCTAGTCCTGACAATGAAAGGACGAGGTTGCACCTAAGGACAGGTGGCAGGTGATTTTCCATGCGACAAGGTTTACAAATGCAAGACCATGTCACTGAGAAGCACCCCAACCACTTTCCGAACTTCTATCGCATCTGAAATAAAGGCATCGTTTCGCCCTCCATCTGATTTGTTCGAAAATTGTAATCGTAGAAGGCAAGAATTAGTAGTGCAGGGCTGCAAAGACGAGTACAATTCTAACGGTGAATTTAGCATTACCCTATATACGTCGGGTATGATAAATTATAACAGACACCACAATGCCAACGCCCGATCGCCTACAGTTTAACTATGTTTTCGCTTCTGCTCGCGACAATAATAAACTGTCATGCCTATCTGCATCATTTTTCATAACATTCCTTAGAGTCCCGGCAATAACCGTCACCAAGAAACACGAATGAATTAGAAGACAATTTATGGACTACAGCCCGTCATTGATCAGGATAAATCGCTGAACGCCATCCCTAGGAAACCACGCACACTTCAACAATGTTTGGAAAAACTAGGGGGAGAAAAAACACGAACTTCTAATTCTCGCCCAAATTTCAGCCAGGTAAAACTACAACTGATCGGTCGTAAACTGTTTAGCGAAAACAACGGTTCACTTCGTCTGGTCTTTTGATTTCATACAGGAAGACACCATTATAAAAAGTGTGGGACACATGGTTGCGTGGGATTCCCAATGAATGAGCGTGGACTATAAGTTAGATTTTCTCCATATGAGTGAATATTCACTCATTGCTGCAAGTTAATTGGTTCCCGGGGCCCGTGGGCCTCGCGTCGCTAATGACTGCGCGCACGATCATTGGCAAACCGATCGAACGACATGTTTGCTTTCTCTTGAGTGCTTTGTCACCCCATCTCCTGCTCGCCCACGCTGCTACGCGCACGCGGTTACTGCCCTGATGTTGTCCACTGATGTCCACTGGTGTTGTGGATTCACCTTTCCCATAACCCTGATTTGTTCTTTTTTATTAGGACGCCTAAGAAAATGTCAATAAGCACATTCACTAGACGTGTCGAGCATGCTCTTCGTGGATATTTTCAGGCAGTTGTGGAGTAAATGAGGGAAATATATCGGTCCGAATCAGCGTCATCGTCGTGGTGTAGTATCCTCTCCGCAAGTTCCTCCAACAACACGGAATCTGCCTTTCTGACGAAGTAGCCAGTTTGCTTAAATGACATCGAACGGCAATCTAGGTGAATCTTTGAAGACTGAGTCATCTAGAGGCCTCTCGTGGCTCCCAGCCTACCGTGAGAGGATCTGCCGTCTTGGACAGTGCGTTCTCACGTTCCGCTATTTCATCTGACCACTCTTCTCATAGTAATGCGAAGGCTGTTCCCGGGTCTGCCATCGGATGCACGAACGCTGCTGCATTGGGCAAACAATGGGCGATGGCGAGGCAATAGACAGTGATGAGATTGTCTATTTAGGACTTGCAAAGCAGATTTACGTGTCACTTGCACGCATATAGCAGGTGGTGAGGTAGTCGCATCTCTAGTTATCGAGGGCCACCTATGCATAAGGAAACCAAGTGTGAATTTTGGCCTATCCCTAGTAGCAAGAGTATATCGCCTCGATAGCGGGTAGACAGCGTTTTTCAATATGCATATATCTAGTGGTTAGCGTTTTTGTCCGGCGGTTTTATGTCGAGTAGATATCGAATTTTCGATATACTCGATAAACGACCGTAGCAGTATTTATAGCAATTGACACGACCCCTTTTCCCACGAAATACCTCCGTTTTATACTAAATCGATTTATACTTTTTCTGTCTGCCCTCCCCCTCCTCCTAAACCATCTACCGCAGTCTTTGTCGGGATGACAAACGCATAAAATAGCGCAAAGTACCCAGAGCACATCGAAGCCGTGTGAATTAGTAGGTATATATTAGAAAAACAATAAAATAAATATGTACATTAATTTCTGTAGTCTCATTAGTCTATATTGGCGTAATTCATTGTTGAATTGGTCGAGCTCCCTCTTGAAGATCCCGTTGTTGGATCTACATTAAAGAGTAGTGTTTAATTGGTAATGGAGGAAAACTTACCGCCGGCTTGGGTGTTGTTACTAATCCTTTGCCCTTCTTTAACAGTTTACAGTGACCGTTTAAGCCGCCTTTTAATGTACAAATCCTGATCGGCAAGGGCGGCTTTACCGTCGCCATTCCAAATCCCTAATACCTCTGTGGATAGAGCAGTGATCAATAATTATTGAGAACGTACCCTTGATTACTTCGTACGTCACCGAATCGGGTAGTCCACGCATACAACAGAGCAATTGCGTACAGTGGCTTGTGAGACATTTACAAACGACCGTCGTTTCCGCACTGTTTCTTCAAGTTCTCTAAATATTTCGTCACTATATCGCTTAATTGGATGCCTTTTTGCTCTCTCGGACTCTTCCTTAAACATAATGACAATACGATGTAGAAAATAAGCAGATAGATGGAAATGACAACAAAGAACAAGGAGGATGCAACACACTCACCCGCGCCACGCAGTCTTCATGAGATAATGGCGTGCAGGCGTAATGCGTGATTTGGCAACACGCCAAACGTACGCCAACCAATGACAGACAAAAACGTAAAGGCGGGGAAACCAATGAAATTACGAGGAGTGGTATATCGAAAAAACTCTATTGGAGTATATCGACTCGATATACCCTTGCTACTAGGGATCTAAGGTTTCGTCATGACACCATTTACTAGTGAAATATTTTTTGTAGGCTTTTTATTACGGCTTCGGTAAGTCCTCGGATGTGCAGTCCTTTTTGCGGACCGTTGACTGGAGAATTGTTATTTCTGGCTAGGTCGGGTCTGCGTTTGGATGACATTAACCGAACACTGCACTTCAAATTGTGCGTTCTTATCTGTGAGTCCCCAGCTACGGCCTTTATCAAGCAAATTAAAACGCCAATGCGTACTATGGCTGCAAAAAATGCTATGTAAGGACGAATGCGTTGGCAAGGTAGTGTTCAATAACGTATCTGAACATGTTAAAGGGGATGAGGATTTTTATCCACCGCGATGACTGCCACCGCATTAGCTAGTCGCCATTGCTGGTGTGCAATGTAGGAATGGTTAGCTCCTTTCCTCTAGATCCACTTTCTTTAGTGTACCTAGGCGTAATGAGAAGTCTTCTGAACTTATGACTACAAAGTCCACGGGAAAAGGCCTTCAGGGTGTCAGCTGCAACAGTAAGCACAGTAAATGATAGGTTAAGAGCCTAAATTCACACGTGCCGCAAACAATTTTCGCAGCTCCCTAAGTCTCTTAGTTATTTGGTCATATGGATGCGTTAGTAGCTTCGCCAGTTCTTGCTTTTTGCAGGATTGGTATTCCTCAGAGGAATTCTTCCTAGGAAGTACTGGAAAAAGTTTATGCTATTGTTAACAGTAATACATTATCTAGTTCACCCGCATTCTTGCAGACAGTGTATATTCTAGGTCAGTAACTTGCTACAGATGTTCGTTTACAGATTTTCGGCAGTATATGGTAAATTAGAAACGGTGTATCGTGTTCACGACATCATGCGCCTACCGGACGATAGTTTGCGACATGGTCCGCTTGCTAGATTCTCGTCGCTTTCTTTCGAAAGCTTCTCATGCAAACTGAAACGTATGCTTAGAAAGCCATTGCAGCCGCTGCAGGCTTAGCGGCACACCTAACCATATCCGGCAGAGTGGACATTTAACAATGAACATTGCAACGGTACACTACCGCCAGCCGGCGGTTTACACAATTTGAGCCAATTTAGAAAGAAGGATTTATCATTGGTAAGATTCCACCATGGGTATCGTTAGCAGTCAAGGGCAAATGACTGTGAATCAAGAGTATAATAAGATACCCACGGAGAAATGCAGGACAAGTTTATGTCGTCTAAGAGAATGGTGAAGATTGCTTGGAAAATCCTATGCGCTCATCGAATATTAAAGTTTTAAAGCTAGGATGGGCACAATCGTCAACACATACCCGCTGTCCGCAGCCGTTCGCAAATATGTTTGCCTCCCCATCAATGAACACTTCCTCTTAATTGAAACCAACGGACGCTTGTACATGGAATACTGGCAGCGTTGAGCGTTCCCGGTAGTTTCGCTGACAAGGTCGGGTGATAACCTTTCCACATATTCTAACTTAATCATTGTGGTCTCACTGTACCTCTCACCGCTCATAGATCGCTATCCACGTAACCTGAGACCCAACAGCCCCTTAGATATTGCTTTGGGGATGATGAAGAGAGACGGTGAGTTTTTGTAAAGTTTTAGCTCTCCTAATCCCTTAATGCACTGTTGGGTTGGGGATTGCTATGTCTGACATCGAAGAAGATAATCGTAAGAAGCAGCCGAAATGATCAGTGAAAGACCCTTATGAGAAGGGAGGTCTGTGGAAAGTACCGGAATTGTTATCATCTTCGGTAGGGTCACGACTTAACTAACATCCCTTACCTTTCAGAAATCACGGGCAGAAGATAATGACTCCGGCTGCACGTTGCCCTTTGGCACATCGCCACCATACACAGGTACTCATCTTCCCATCTGAACTGTTCTCCCGAAGTACCAGCAGCGGACGCCACATACGCCGACATCGCCATTCATCTTCCTTTCGGAGGGAGTCGTCCCTGAAGAATTGCTTACGTGGATGATGCATCACCTTGTCCGGACTGCTAAAACGATGCAGAAAAGGAAGCCGCAATTGGATGCCCTTTTATGAAAGACGAAATGCGCGTGCGAACTTCTGTAGCTCGACGCCCACTCCAGCGCCTCATTGGCCTGTGTTTCAAGACATGGCGACCCAAAAGCAGTGGTGTGTGTTCACTAGCGCCATTTCAGACTCCTTCTCCCGACAGTAGGTGGTAAATACACCCATTCATTGCAAGTTTGCCACTATTTTTCGCACTTAACATCCGACGGCTGGGACGCTGTTAATGCCTTCATCGACAGGATATTCAATACCCTGTCCCACGACAGAATAACATTGCAGTTATCGTTTTACGGCCGGCCCCAGGGCAAACTGGTCGTATTTGTATTTAATCGCTTCCCTTGACAATGCCTGTAAACAGGCATTTAATAAATTAAATTAAATTAAACGAGCTTTCTTTGGATCGATGGCCTATGGTGTGATCGTAGTAGGTAAGATAACAACATAGATGCCTTCGCAGTATGAAATCCTACGCAGAACTGCTACAAACACCAACTGGAAATGAACTGCTGGATTGCCATTGGGACGGCCTACGACAGACTACAGAAGCGTGGGAATAAGGCATCGATGTCACTGTGTGTCGACGGTTTGTGGTCTTTTTATGTTGTTAGTAACTGTAGCTCGTGTTCCTGTACCATTAGTCAGCTCACATACAACATTCCAGTTACCACAGCAATTAATGTCATCCTATTGGATTTTAAGCGACGCCAACGAAACTCCGAACAATCCATTCCGTGGGCCGGTCAGTCCTCCAACTCATTTTTAAAACGGCATCCGGACGCAGCTTAGTGAACAGAAGAGCAGAGTCAGGCTGCGAGAAGACAGAAACCCAAGTACGGACGAGGCCATGGGGGACACACGCGCAGCTGTACTTCAACCCGAATCTGACGAAGGTGCGATCGTCACTACAGCCGCGTCGTCCACTTATCTGGCAGGTGTGAGGACGAACGATCGCAGTAACGCCAACGGACCCGATGAAGGTGTTATCATCACTGCCACTCATGCGGCAGGTGAGAACAAAAGTGACTGCAGGGTGACAAAGAAGATTGCCAGCCTAGGACGAGAGCTAAGGTCAATGCAAACACGTGCAATGACAGCTAGCGTCCAAACGACAGCCCGCGAATAGACGCAAACCCGTTGTAACAAAATCGTCACCGCCTATAAATACTGTGAGGCGTGGTACAAAACTCACCTCCGACGATAAAATCTTGTTTGATTTTGAAACGCAGGGCATTATAACTATGGTTCCCGAGATCGCCCCGTCTTCTTATTTATGTCCGGGGACGCGCATCTTCGCTTCTATTAGCAATATATATATATATATATATATATATATATATATATATATTGAAAAACAGGCATCCCAAGAAATATAATTAGAAAGATGAAGTTCTTTGGGAAACAGCCAATCCCGAGATGACAATATTAACCAATCATTGACTCCTTTTGCTAGACTCAGGCTAAAAGTTAATTGTTTTTGCATGCCCATTGTCTGAAGACGAGCTGGGGAACCAGTCTCGAAAATTCACAATAAAATTTTGCTGTTTCCCAAAGAACTTCATCTTTCTAAATATATATATATATATATATATATATATATATATATATATCAGCGAGGTGGGACGACAGAGAATGCGGGTAGATTGATATAGCACTGTTTCGGGCTTATTCTGCCTTCATTCAGCCAATCATTACCCTGACCACCAGCAGCTGAGACCAGAAACACAAACATGCGCACAGACGCACCTGGCGCAGTCGGTCCACCACTGAGGCCTACCAGATGGGTCATAAGTACTTCATCGAACAGAAGTTCATCAGTGCCTCGCCACCTGTCATTCTCTGTCGCTGCAGATCGGGTATTTATCAATTACTATTTTTTGCCCGGTTCCTGAAAACGCACATTTTGTTGCCCATATTTGCGCATATGTAATATTGGCATTTTACGTTTTATATCATTGACATATTTTAAAAGTGAAAGTCTTATTTTCCAGAAAACGTCTTCTCAGACTTGCACATCGAATGCTACTGGAATAAAGGAAAAGGTAAGAGGCAAGGGAACAGACGGGTGGAGGACAGATAAGGGTTGTTTACAAATAATAGGGAAGTTTTGTCCGCCTTAAGACGCAAATTAGAATTCGCTATGCAGATTCTACGCCGAGCATGCGTAGACTATTTCAACTTTCTGCTTTGAATCTGCGCAGAATGAAGATATAATTGCTATTAGGTACATGACGCCCTAATAGAAGAGAATAGAGGAAGTTCGTGCAAACGCTAAAGGCAAATGATGGCATTATGGTAGAATCCCAATCACGGACCACTCGGTCAACGGTGGAGATAGTAAAGGGACTCAAGACAAGAGAAGCGAATGGCACCACAAACTGAACATTCAAAAAAGATTATGAATTTATTTATATAGTGAAATTCCGCCAAATATTTGTTTGTCATACAGACGTTTAGCAGGAAGTGGATATAGTTCCCTCTGCTCTATTAAGCCCATGATCAGTACATTTTTCCCGACCAATTGACTAGACACTCACGTTTTGGAATTTTGCACATGTTTGGTTTCTATGGGTCTCTAATCGGCTGACGGATGCGTTCTGGATATATTTCCTTCGTCCCAGAAATTTTGTTGAGTTGGATTTTATCAAGGTCTGGTCATGTCTTTATTGTTTCGTTTGGACCGAAAGGACTTTGCCAGAGAGCACTTAATTCACAGTATGGCATTTGTTCGCCTCTCCAATTAGCCAACCCCGAGCTTAAAATACTAATTCAGCAACGGTAATTTATTCCTTGTCTTTCTTTCTGTTCCTATATATTTCTTGCTTACAGTCGAATTTGCCGACTGATATCTGATACACGTGACCTTACACCAGAGACGGGTAATTAGTTCGTTCTTGAGGATTTATGTGCCAGCAAAAAACTGTCCTCTTAAAAGGACCTGAAGGACATTCACAGAAAAAACTCGGATAAATCTTTGTTGCACATGCTCCATCCTTTTCATTAGTGCCTAGGCCGCAAGAGAATATGATAAATATTGACTAGACTGTTCATTGGCTTATACGTATAAGGCCTTTAATTGATGTGGTGATGTGCGTAGTTCAATGAACTTTGTTTACGGCCTAAGATCATTCATAGGAAATGGGGATTTATATAGTTGTGGAAAGTTCTCAGTTTCCTTCTGCTGACGAAAAATTCTCATGATCCCGATTTCGACTGGAACGACTTAAAGACGATCGTCTCCGACTTCTGAAGTAGAATTTTGTAATAAATAATCTAACAAGGCGTGTTCGGGTATTTTCTGGAAGCAGACCTCTCAAGCCTGAAATTCCAGATTATTCCTATTCTCCGAGCAACTGTAAAAAAACACATAACTGCCACATAAACGCAGCGTATTAATGAAGTTGTAAGCGGTCTATAAAATTAATTCACAATTAAAATAAAACATATAAAAGTCATTAATGCCCCTAAAAATATCTCTGCCTCTAACATTGATGAGTCACCGTTCTCTGGGGAGGCATATTATATCCGAAGTCGAATATTCTTCGATGTTTGCGTGCTCTGTAAACATTGGCGATTCGACCATCATTGTGGGAGTCGTACGTCCATATATCTGAGGCGGTCGTCCATTTAAGAGAAAAACGAAAACTCCGAAGAAGTTGGAATAATAAAATTAGGCAAAGTGAAGTCGTTGAAGAAATAGGAACATTATGTGTCCACTTAGCGTGGTAAATTACTGCTTGGCAAGTTACCCGAAAGTGTCCACATTATGCATCAAAGGAGCATCTATGCAGAGCTGTTGCTCTGAAGGGCATATAAGCTTTGCGCACAAGAATTTAGGTGCAGGTTTCCTGACGTCAGTGTAGCATCATGTTCACTCTAATGCCTTTTGTCATCAATAAGCTGGGCGGTCAAATCCTACAGCAAACAGTTGCAATTAAAGACGTAAAGAGAGGTCTGTCCAAACAGGAGACGGCAGTACGCAGTTTGTAACAACCCACGATTACCCAAATAATAACTCACAGTTACTCTGAACGATCTAAAATTTCCTAATCGGAAGATCGCCAAACAAAGGTCTCTGGCCACTAAATGACATTATTTCATACGCAATTTCGGCGTGAATTTGAAATTTGCGTCAGAGCTTTTGACCTATGTCCCTTTCTGCTTTCTAATATAAAGAAACCTGACTAGATGTAAAAGGGCGAATGCATTTCAGTCATGTTATCAACGGATGAAATTAATTCTTTCCTCTGCATCGGGCACAAGACAATTGAAGAACGGACTAAGTCTCCGGCTATATTTTGGAACTGGATTTGCAAATCTGTAAAGAATCCACTGCTTTCTTTTCTTCCAGGAGAAGGATTTTTCGAGGGACTTTTGATGCGCCGACTGAGAGCCCACTTTAATGGCTTCCCAGACTTGCAAACTTAGCAGCAGATTTATGCTTTTCAACAACTCACTTAAACAGACTTTTATTCACTTAGTTTAAATGTGCGTTCTGTGACCACTAGGTGTCTTTTCTAGGCGTTTTCGTCCTTAAATAGCATTATTTACGACTCAGGACGTCCTTTAAGTGGAACTATAAACCAATGGATTAATAAAATGGCACCTGAAATATTTTGTCTTAGTCAACGTGAACCTGGCCTTACCCATCATCGTCTAGTCCCACCTAATGACGGGGCCACTTTCTGGCAGGGCATACACAAGATGCCCTACGTCTTTCAGTGCAACTTAATCTGGATTATTGCAATAACCGTAGACTCAGTATGTGAATTTCCCCTTTTAGTTGTGATTGGATTGCATTCTAAATTATAATGTGACCTCTAATTGCATGAAATTGAAGTGTAAATTCGCTAGCTGTTTCACTGTGATGGCATTGCAAAGAATTTGGGGTTTAATATCCAAAAAATAATTCAAACACTCATACAGCTATGTATAGGTATCTAAAGGAAGCGTTTGAGGAACTTCATCTTTCATAGAGAATTTGCATAGGAGGCTCCCTTGCCATCAAAAAT